ATTCACTCTCACCTAGCAAAAATTATTTGCAATCTTATCTTCCCTTATCTTCTTCAGTAAATGTGTCTTTTGTCTAAGCCAGAATATTGATCTTTCCCTTTTTTCTTACTTCTTTACACGAAACAGAATGCCAGATCTCGTAAAGGTACATCTTCTATCTTCCTTACATTTAGTTTATTCTTTTTTTGTGATACTGGGATTGCATCTGAGACCTTCACTGTGAGCTAAATCCCCAGCCCTTTCCCCTTTTTGAGACAGGATTTTGCTAATTTCCCGGCTTGGGCCTGCACTTCTGATTCTCCTGCCTGATACTCCTGAATAGCTAGAAATGCTGATCCTACAGGTTTAGGTGACACGGCATTACAGGCATGTACTGTCATGCTGGCACTCCACTCCTTTCTAAATAGTTGTAATTTCCTAATAGATCAGGGTCACCATGTGGCAGCAGCCTCCTACCTTTTCTTGTTTAGAGTTGAATCTCATCCTTTGGATTTCAGCCTGGAGGACACTGCTGCGGCCCTCTGAGGTTCCACATTATCCACACTAAGATCTGAATGTATTTTCACTTGTCCATATTCACCATTAGCCAATGCATTCCAGCAGAATCACCCACACGGTAAATATTATAAATAAATGTGCTGCTTGGGCCGGGGATATAGCTCAGCGGCACAAGCACCTGCCTGGCAAGTGCAAGGTCCTCAATTTGATTCCCAATACCAAAAAAAAGAAAAGAAAAGGAAAAAAAAAGCCCATCATATGTGTTGGTTATTATTAACTAATGACATTTTTCCTCCGTGGAAAATAAAGTCAACCTTGAAATTAGTACATTTCTGAATTATTGAAACCCGTTCTTACTTTCTCATTTCTTCTCAAGCACTTCGTGCCCCCTTTGTCATAAACAGGAATGACCTAAGGGAGTAATGAGAAATCACCATATGCACTGTTTGAAACCAAATGAGTCAGGCTCTGAATATGATGGATTTGTGAAAAGAAAATAATCCAGTTCTCTTGGAGATTCTGGGCATTGCATGATCTATTAGCTACTGAGAAAATGTGAATATATAAGTAGTGGTGGAAAAATTATTTTGTATTTTTGACATCACACAGATAGTTAGGTCTTACTCACTGTGGGAGTTTCAGTTAGGTAAGCCAAAATGAAAAAAAATGGCCTAGACTGTCTCATTCTATTCAGCAATTTATTTATTTATTTCGGTTTTTTGAGACAAGGTCTTGCTGTTCAGGCTGCCCCTGAACGAACTACATAGTCCAGGCTGGCCTCAAACTTGCGGCAATCCTCCTGCCTTGGCCTCCGGAGTTATAGTTAGCTGGGATTACAGGTGTGCACCAACATGCCTGGCTTCTACTTAGTAATTTAAATTTCAAGTTAATAAAATGGTGCTTTCAGAGCTCTTATTTTCCTCATATAAATGAAAAATCCTTAACACGGTCTATTTAGAATGAAGTAAGTATTCTAATGTTACTATCCTGCAGTTTTACCTCAAAGGCTGTACCATCATCTTCTTCTGTTTTTTGAACTATTCTTTTCTGAGCTAGCTTTAGCATTCATTCCTTCACTCATTCATCATATGTTAATTGAGTAGTTTCACTGTACTTCATATAGTATTAAAGTGAAGAGACAAAGCCACTGACTCCAGAAATTCACCAATTATGGGACATAAAATAAGTGACAAGAAGACAAGAAGATAATTCAGCAAGTGCCAACCCAGAGCTCTGGGGAAAGATTTTTTTTTTCTGGGATCTCAGAGTAGGAGCCAGGAGGTAGGGCTTCCCTGGAAAAGATAATGTTTGGCCTAAGACATGGAGTATGCAGAAGACTGGAAGAAGAAGGTTTCATAGGGAAGGGAATCGAGTGCAAAGGTCCTGGATGTAAAGGGACAGCACTACACTATCATGTCGTTATTACTCAATTTCCCTCTAGTGGATCAGAAGGCCTCCGAAAATCTAGTTTAATCCTAAATTTGATGGAATACGCACTGTATTATCCTTTTGCTTGTCCTTTCTTTTTAAAAATGGTACACTCACCAATTGAGGTTGCCAGGGAATTACACACAAGAAAAAAAAATGGAACAGGAAATTAAATCAGTTTTGCCTGCTGTTGCTTTTCAGTTTTAATGAAGGTATCCAGCTAAGACGGCAGATCAAGACTCAGCTATCACAGGTATATGCATACGTAAATAAACCCCTACTTTTCTTATAAAAGGGTACACATTCTTTGGGGGAAAATGAAAAAATGTATTTTCCTTCATTTGCGTCATGGTCTTACCCAGTCATAATCACTATGAACCAACTGGAATGCACTGTATCACGTTATGTTATGTGTATCTATATAGATTTGCTTAATGAAATCGTGTGAAAGTTTTAAACACTTTTTATTGTGAAATATAATATTTGTAATTTAGCTGTAGAGTTTAGCGAGTAACTATAAAGCTGATGCCTCTGAAATTGCGGCCCAGAGAAGGAGCAGATATCGGAATATCACTGGCAGCCAGGCGCACACCAGCGCTCAACCCCTCCTTTTCCGCTCAAGGAGGCTGCTGCCAAGATGCTTTTAGCCATCACTTCTTGCTTTGCTTTATAGTTTTACCATCCTCCCACCCAGTCTTTCAGTTTATAAATGTTTTATCAGTGAAACCATACTGCACGGATTCTATGTTCTTGCAATGTTGACTCAGCATCATGTTTATAATTTTCATCCATTTTGTAGCCCACAATCCTGGTTCACTCTTTGCCAAACAGTGATCCGTCACGTACATATATCACAGTGTATGTGTTCATCTTACCACTGATGCAAAGCTTGAGTTGCTTCTAATCGTTTTTAGTAATTCTGAACAATGCTGCTTTGAACAGACTTGTACATGTGTCCTATCCCGCACGTGTGAACTTCTCCCGTATCTGTGAGTGAAATCCTTCAGTGAAACTTAACTAGATAACCTCACACTATGTTCCAAAGCATCAGTTCCCATTTCACCATTTCCTCCTGTTGAGTGAGTTCCTCATTTGCTTTATCTTCTCCAACATGTACATAGTCAGGCGTTAAACTATTGCCTTCTGAAAGATGCATACCTCATGATGACTTGAATTGCATTTTCCTGGTTTCTGATGAAGTTTAACATAATTTCCACGTATTTATTGGCCATCTCAGTGTTTTTCTTTTCTGGAGTGCTCGTCAACTTCTTTGTTCTTTTTTTTCTGCCTCCCACCCATGGACTTTTCAGGAATGCAATACTTTTCAATTTTTTAAAAAAACTTGAGTACATTATGATCATTTTCATGGTACTATTTCATCTCCAATATGTTTCAAGTGTAAACAAATTATTAACTTAGCAGTTTCACTGCTGACTCACAAAATTAGACCACAGCCACTATAAAATGAAGTCGTATCATAAATATTGTTTTCAAGTAGGAGATGGAATTAAAAACATAATGGGGAGGTTGTCTAGCGTGAGGTTAAGGGCCCAGATCCTCAGCTCTACTGTATCCAAACCTGTGTGACCTTGGCAGGTTACTTAAGCCTTCTCAATCTGTTTCTTCCTGTGTAAATGAGTGACAATAACAGTAACTACTCCATAGGGTTGTGAGAAAAAAATAAGATATTGCATTCAAGGTGTTTAGCACAATGCCAGTCATCACACATGCCAAAGGATACTTATTATCAATATTATTAATTATAAGCATTTGTCTAGAATCTGCCAATTGGTGTTCTCCCTCCTTCCTGCAATGACTCATTATGTTGAAGTTTAGCCCCCAGTTTGGAGGAATTGCAAAGTGGACCTCCGCAAACTGATTATGTCAAAAGGGCTCTCCCTTGATGAACAGATTAATACCCATAAGAAACAGGCAAGGAAACTTATTCACCCCTTCTGCCATGTGAGGACCCAACAAGCCAATGCCAATGTGCCAACTAGCACAACTGCCTAATAGAGCTCCAAAGGGTCAGAATGCTGTTAGGAACGCAGATAGTGATGTCCAAGTTCAAGAGGTTTCAATTGTGCTTCTATTAAGCAGCCGGCCCTCATCAGACACAGACTCTGCCAGCAATTTTTGAACTTCTTGACCTTCAAAACTGTAATAAATAAATATCCGCTGTTGATAAGCCTCCCTGTCCATGGTACTTTGTTAGAGGACCAATGGACTGAGACAGAACCTATGGATTATAAGCAATGGGATAATATAGTCAATCCTTTTTCTAATGGGGAATATGCAGATCAGAGAAGTTAAGTAATTAAATCCAGGGCATCTATCTCTTAGTAGTACCACCATGATCAGAATCTGTGCCTAATTTCAAAACTTGTTCATTGTTTCCTCTACTGTCTAAATTCTCCTTGGCGGAAGCAAACAGTTCACTGTGGTTTCTTAATAAATTTTACTCTTTTGAAGAGTCATGTGAAAATGAGAATATATTCGATGTGGCTTTTTAAAGTAAAACCCCAAAAGGTAGAGGCAATTCAAATAAACAAGGTCTTTTAAAATGCCATTTTCCCCAGATCATAGGCACAAAAGTGCTATACTGGTGCATCCTCTGCTGGGTGATCCCTGCTGGTGAATCCTCTGCTGGGTGATCTCTGGTGTGACAGAGGCCAGAACTGTCAGGATCACCCTGTTCCGGGAAAAGGCGCTGGGTGTAAGGATAAACCTTGAAGTCAGCTGCCTGGGCTTAAATACAGCTGTGCACTCACCTAGTTTTGATCTCTCGGGTCCACTGTCTCCTGATCTGTAAAACAGGGTTCAGAATGGAACCCGTGCATCATGGATAGAAGAAGAAGAATGAAACGAGACAATGGACATCCAGGAAGTGCTCAATACATGCTCTCCATTATTATTAAATTGCTCATCAAGGAACTGTCCTATCAGTTGGGCTGTTTCTCCCATTATCCCAGCTCAGATACCCAGCATGATTTTGTCACAGTGCTTTAAGTCACATACACAGAATAATTAGGTAGTCTCCTCTCATTCATCCCGTCTCTACCCTCATGTGTAGACTCAGCAGAGTCAAAGCCACATCTAGCTCAGAGGACTCTGTGTTTCAGGGTCTCATCTCTGGTCCTTTGCTGACGTCTCATGTGTCCAGGCTATCATGGGTGGAGCCATAGAGAAGCAAGGTCACAAGGTTTCAGGTAAGTTACACTTCCTTATCAAACACAAGAACTATCCGAGTCACATTCTTGTGGGCTCTCACCCTCCATGGTAAACATTTTACTGACCACCGGGGATTCTTTCTAAGAGAAATTCTAGTTGATCTTCTCATGATGTGCATTGTGGAGTCTGAAGTCAGTGTCACATCCAGTAGTCTTAAGTCATGGTCAAGTCCTGTTTAGTCAGCCGGGGTTTTAATAGATAAGCGAATGTGATACGTTAGGGAGAGAAAAGGCTTTGGAGAAAGACAGACCTCAAGCCAAGTCTTGGGTCAGCTGGAAAGTCACTCTGACACTGGAAAAGCCATAGTTTCTTCCTCTTTAAGAGGTACATAATGTTGCTTTGGCATCTAAAAAAGGGAAAAAATTAAGAGCCCTTAGCGAAGCTTCTGGTGTGTAACACTGCCGTAAACTGGAGCATTATGCTCAGGATGACAGCGGCAGGCACCAAGATGCCAAGTGCCTGGGCCAGCAAGGGACTCGTCATGGCGCTCCAGGGAGTAAGTGGCCACCCTGAGTGAACATCATATGGTTGGCTAATGGTTGAGAGGGGAAACACAGGAGAAAGGGAGATGGAGCAAATGGAGTGGCTTGGCTTACACAGAACTGCAGACCTAAGGAGGTGGCACCCCAGGAGAGAAGGCAGATGGTGGGGGATGGGCAGGCACAATGTAGGCAATAGAAAACCACTAGAGAGTCCTAAGCAGGGGAGTGACAGGGCCAGATGTGTCTTTAACGAGGTAAGAGGCCTCTAGCAGCAGTGTGGGAGGCTGAGCTGATGGCTTTCTACTCATATCAGCTAGGCCAGCTGGAGGACTGATTATTGATTAGCAAAGTGTAGGACCCAAAGTGGCTCTCAGTACCACTAACTGCTGATTGATGGAGTAAAATTGAAAGGGGGGAAGCGTGTGCAGTGCCCAGGAGATATGTTACTCTTTTTGAGTTATATGATTCATAGCTGCCATCTGTCTTTTTATACTTTCAGGTTTTTTCTACACCTCAGGACAATCACTGCCCTCAAATACTTCAAATACAACGGTTATTTTGAATTTCATATCATGGAACATATAAGTCTGGAAAGAAATGCATAGATTTAAAACAATGACATATAATTAAAAGTTCCTTGCAAACAGATTAGACGGCATCATGGTAGCAGTTTGCACAAAAATGCATGTATAGTGCAGTAGTAGACAGATTTCTGAAACATACAAATGTCAGAAATTGCAAAGGAAAGACCATTTGTATTAGTTACTGCTGGACAAGCTCCCACAGCTACTTAGGGTTGAAAGCAGAGTGGCAAAATACCAGGTATGTAATCATTCAGTCAAAATACATGTGTGATGTCTTAAATAAGGCTTAGGATTTTCATGCCCTACTTTTGAAGATCCTCTATAAAATAGGAGGTTTCACACACCAGTCTACAAGTGGCTTAATATCAAAGTCAATCACACAGTTCTATGAATCCTTCTCTGCCATGATGGTTATGTTCTGAAATGCTTCCCCCAAGATATCTAAAACATTATTCTTATTGTTGTTCCAATAGAAGTATTAGAAAGGAAAGCCAGCAAAAACCAGAATATTTCTTTCCCCTTACTTGGTTTCTTCTGTAGTATTTCAATCACTGCAGCTAAACAGCACTCAGGGCCTTTAAACTGGCAATAGAAGATAAAGCTAGCAGGGTTTTAAGCTCGAGTGCCCTAAAAACAAAAGTGAAAGCAAACAAAAAAATTGTCTCATTGAATTTTACTGAACTTACAGTGGAGTTGGAGATGATGTGATTTTTTTCATGCTGTATTTTGATCATTTCACAGCCTGTAAATTCCTTCATAAAAGAGTTGAAAGATGGAAGAGAGAGCATATATATTTAACTTAACAAGGTATCTCATGGGAAGTGGCCAAGTCCAAGATTTTAAGGAATAAGAGGCCTGGAAAAAACCCTTAACTTTGCAAAGAATTGAATGCTCTTCCCCACCACCACTGTCTGGGAACTTCTGTCAAAACTTCAGGCTTCTACCTGTACCTGTACGCATTCTGCACACCGTGTCAGGTCTCTCTACCCTGCACCTTTCTTCTATACTCACTTCCCTTTTACAGTGTTTAGCATAACTTTCATGACATAATTAGATGTGTAAGTATGTGTTTGTTTCCTGTGATACCATCAGTTCCACTGAGACAAGGGGCTGCGTGAATCTCATTCACTGAGATTTCCCCAAGTAGCCAGAATGATGCCCAGCTCAGAGAAGGTGCATGGTAAATATCTGCTGAATGGAGGGAAACCCACCCTTAGCTCAGCTGTTCGCACTCTCGAGGAGGACTGAGGGCTGGCGCTGGAGTCAGAGCTCTGCTTCCTGACCCCCTTCCAGCTGGGCAGACACAGGCCACCTGCACAGGACACCCATGTGAGTGGCCCTCTGGATGATGAAGTGGGCAGCTCCTCTCCCAAGATGTCCCGTGCATCATCCCCCATTGCAATGTCCTATCTCTGTGACCTCATGCAAAGGAATGGGTCGCAGATTTATTGTCTTCATTTTCTTTCCCACAAAGATTCTTTTTAAATACTTCTGGTCTTCTCAGCATCCTATATCCCTGTATCTAGCTCCTCTGCCGGCCTCACAATGACAAATAAGGCAAAGCTGTGACAGCGGCAAAGACAGCCCCAGAGAGAAGGGCAAATACGAGGCAATAACACCATCTGCACTGATGGGTCCTGCACCGCCTAACTGCTTTGACCTTGCCTCCTCCTGGTCCACTCCTGGGACATTTCTGAACACTCACCAGTGTCTTCACAGTGTGAGGCAATATGATTCTTTCATTGCCAGAAAATAACGTGCTGTTAAAGTTATGTCGTGAAAGGAACATATAAGGTGCAATAAGAATAACATCCCCAACCATCTGCAACCAAGGTTTCAGCAGCAGTTAAGGAACCCCTTTGCTTGCCCTGTCTTTTGTTAATGCTGTTTTTTTTTCAGCAAGGTCTTTCTCAACTTACTTAAATTGTGGCTGGAAAGTGGAGGCCATGCTGAGCCTCTGAAGGAGGACGGGGGAAGTTGTGACACAGCTCCATCTGGCCCATGTACGTGGAAAAATGCTTCATGAACACATTTTATGATGTTGACAATACTGATGTTTTAAAAATTGTGGTATGCCTAGAAATACCTAAAGTGAAAATACCTAAATTAGAAATACCTAATTTGAAAATTGCATTCAGAGATAACAATCAGCTTTTAAAGACACACAATTAATTTTTAATAATGTAAGTGGAGTTTCTGTAGTTCACTGATTAGGAGACTCATGATTCAGTGGATTTTTCTGGGTAAGTAGAGGGGAATCCAAATATCCAAAATCACCAGCTGTTCATTTTCTATACAACCATAGGAAATCCTTCCATGCCTTAGTCTAAAAAGTGTTTTATTTTCTTTGCTACCTGATGGCATGACAGAGTCAGAGGGCCTACTGACCAACAAGTAATTTGTTTTTAGATCAATATTTTCACTTGAAAATATTTTCCTACCAAACCAGTAAGAGGAATCAATGGGTAATGCCCAATTATTTGTGTAAAGTTACATAGATCAATGCCCTGAAGAGATTTATATTTGACACATGAACAGGAAAAAAGCTTCTCATGAGAATTTTGAGTAAAAAAATAATACTGAAAGACTGAGGCTAAATTTCTGAAATACTCAGGAACCTTCTATTTACACAGCATCTGAAAAGCCGGGGAGAAGGGGGCATGGACAGATCACAGAATTACTGTAAGGGAACTGGGAAGTGACATGGGATGTAACTAGCAAGAAGAACTAACTACCTATGGTGCATTTCAAAAAAAAAATGCAATTACCTGGCCTCATCTGACTAAGAATAATGAAGTAGCACAGCACAGAGGTGAGTTGTATAGGTTTTAAGGTCAGACAGATATAGCTTGACTCCTGCTGTACTACAAAGTTGCTGTATAACTCTGGGGTAGTTACTTAATTAAATTCTAGTTGCCTCTAGGATTAAAATGGTACCATGTATAAATCACTGTGCACATTGCTTGGTATACAGAGAATGCCCAATAAATATGTTTTAAAAATAAATATGAAATAACTTCATAAATAATTTTGTTATTTATATTTAAACATTCTTTCAATTACCAACATAAAATATACTTAAGACAAATTAGTACCAACTTATTTGCCATCATAAACTGAACGAAGACAGCTTGCACTTTAGAAGGACAGTTGAGTACATAGCTAAACATTTATGTCTATGGATCCTCTAATCTCTGAGTTAAAATTAGATTTCCAAAGAAGCACACTTCTAGATTATAGTACTTTAATTTCCATAGACAATCCCTTCAAACAAACACTATTTATTTTTTTTTTAAGTTTTTTTTTTTTTTTAAAGATAAAAGGAGGGAAACATTAACAGACATACAACATTTTACAACATATCACAAGCACAATACAGACAATACAGAGTTACAAACAAAGTGGTAGGGAATTAACAATGGTGGTTGTATTACATATTGATATTTTCAAAGTGGCTTCTCATGAAAACAGATATAGACATGCAATACTGGTCAACCAAAGACTCATTGACAGTTTCTTTCAGCATAGAAATAGAAGACAGAAGAACAACCATGTTAACTATCCTGTATATACATACATACAAAATTTCTCCTTCTTTCCCTTCTCTTTTCCCACATCCCAGAAGCCCTTTACTCTTCAGTGGTTTCCTATCATTTCACAGTGTCTATCATACCTCCGAGTTTAAATTAACTCTTTCAAGTTTTACACTAGTGACACATTGCGGTGCTTGCACATGTATGTTTGATTTATTTCACTTATGAGTATGGTCTCTAGTTGTGACCATTTAAATATAAAGGCCTCGAGTTTATCTTTCTTTATAGCTGAGTAATATTCCATTATATAAAAGTACCACAATTTTCTTATCCAATTCTCGGTGGATGGACATTTGGGTTGCTTCCACATTTTAGCAATTACAAATTGTGCTGCTATGAACATAGGTGCACATATATCACTGTGATATGATGTTTTTAGATCTAGAAAATACCCAGCAGGGGGATAGCTGGGTTGAATGGGACCTCTAAACCTAGTTTTCGGAGGAATCTCCAAACTGATTTCCACAGTGGTTTCACCAGTCTGCATTCCCACCAGCAGTGGAGAAGGGTTCCTGCTTCTCCACAGCCTTGCCAGCATTTGCTATTGGTTGATTTCTTAATTCTAGCCATTCTTACTGGGGTAAGGTGGAATCTTAGTGTTGTTTTAATTTGCATTTCTCGAATGACTAATGATGTTGAACATTTTCTCATATATTTATTTGCCATTTGTATCGCCTTGTCTGAGAAATGTGTATTCATCTCAGCTGCCCATTTTTGGACTGGGTCTTTGAATTTGGAGGGGCTGAAATTTTTTAATTCTTTATATGTTCTAGATAGAAGCCCTTTGTCTGAGGGACAATCAGCTAAAATTTTTTCCAAGTAACAAACACTATTTAATATTGTGTCACTGATTTAGTTGGTTCATGGCCCTAAGAACTGGTCATATTCAAAACATCTCTGTGTTCTTTTTAAATCTACATTTCAGTGTAACTCAGTATTTTCACTTCTAGGAATCTATTCTAGAAACATATAGAAAATTACCCATGGGCTGCTTTGTGGGAAAGGGATAATTCAGGAGGCTGAGACTGTTCAAACTCTATCCATTCCCAAGAAGGGCCTGTTTCACTACTGGCCACTGACCACTGGTCAGGTTCCAGGACCTAGGCTCTTGCAAGGTTCTGGTAGAGTAGTAATGAAGCCTTTAGATAACCAGGCGTAGATGAATTTCCCTCAATGGCAAAGTATTATTCCTACTATCACATATTGCCGAAAGAATGAAACACATCTCATGCAGTATGGCTGGTAGAGGGTCTTTGGAACCTTGCACCTGTTTTCATTTGAATCTCACCCCATGAGCTATTACCCTTCACTAATTTTACGCTGAATTCTCTCATTATAATAAATTATAATCATAACAACAACAACATCTGAGTCCTTTGAACTCTCCTTTGGAAATCATCAAGCTTAAAAGCAGTCTTGAAACCTCTTCCCAAACACATTTTTGCAAATTAACTTATTATACCTTACTATTTTATACTGAAACACTGAAAATGACCTAAATGTTGAGCAGATAAACAGTTCCATAAATCTGGTTGATAAACTGAAAATGAATGAAATATCATTTAAAGTAATATTTTTGCATATTTATCATGACATTAGGAAACTGTGTGAAAGCAGGACACTTGGCTATCCAGAACATATCAACTCAAGTATGGAAAAAAATCCATATCCATATAGAAAGAAAGACTGGAAGGAAATACACCTGTATATGTTATTAATGGCTACTGATCAACTGTGAGATTTTGAGGTATTGTTTATTCATTTTTCTATATTTCCATATTTGATATATTATGTATTCACTTTCCCATATCTTTATGACTTTTTTCTCAGAACAAATTATTTTTATTCAATTACTTTATATATCTTATAGCAAAAGTTAAAACATGTTTGGAAGAATTCTGATGACACAGAAAGAACACAGCTTAAAAATCAAAGTTCTTTTCTCCTCACAAGTTTTCCTGCAACTGGACATCATACTGACAATAGCTATTAAGTATTTAAATAAAATTTTCCACTGTTTTCTGTAAATTAATAAAAAAGGCATACATAAAAATGATTTATTTTGTTTCAGGTTTTACAGAAATAGGATCATATTCTGTGGCTTTCTCCTTTCAATAATATATTTGGACATTGTCCACATAATTCATATGTCACTTTAAAATGACATGTATATATTGAATTAATGTTTATTAATTCATTTCCATATTGCCAGATTTTTTAGATTGTTTCTAATTTTTTATTGTTATCATAATGGTGCCTAAAAGTTCCTGTATGTATATCAAAGTTCCTTGAAAAGTACTTTTGTAAGAGTCCTAGGAATAAAAATAATGGATTACATGTTATAATATTTAAATTTTCATAAAGATTGACAAACTGCTCTCCAAAAGCTTGTTTATTTTCATTTCCAGTATAGCTGCAAGAGTGATCATTTGCCATATTCCTACCAACACTGGATAAATCTTTTCAACTTTTTCTAATTAAATATGAAAATGAAAACGACAGTATGTCACTTTACCGAATTGAACATCTTTTCATTATTCTACCCATTGATCACTTTGTCCCTTTAATGTGTGAAGTAGCCACCCACATCTTTTATGTATTTTTCAAATTATCTTTCCTATTGATTCTCAGTTCTCTACACTGTGCACATTTTAACATTGACAGCATTTTCTATCAGTTTATCATTGTTTTCAACTGGATGACGCCTTTCTTTGCATAAAGTTTTAAATTTCTATGTTAAGTGTGTCATTTAAAAAATGTTTCCACATTTCATGTCTTGCTTAAAAAGGCTCTCTCAGGTCAGAGATATAGCTCAGTGGCACAAGCACCTGCCTGGCAAGCACAAGGTCCTGAGTTCAATTCCCAGTACCTAAAAAAAAAAAAAAAAAGAAGCCAGAAAAAGGCTCTCTCTATTCCAAACTTTTAAACTATTTTCTAATGGTTTTATTATCAGAAAAAATTAAATACACACAGTTTAAATTATTCTCAATTACACTGTTCAATGTAGTTTTTTAAAATTCACAGAATTAAGACTTAAAAATTTGGGCTAAGAAGTACGTCTATCTCTTTTGATAAAATGACAGGCTCCTTTACCCTGACTGTGTTTCTTACTTTTCCCTTGTGACCAGGAAGCTCTGAGTCTATTTTTGTTACCTTTTTTTCTCTTTTATTACTTGGTTTTTTAGCCTGGGGTTGTGTTTCTCAGTGGCCTTTCCTGAAAACTATTTCAGATCTTTTCTGAAATCAGAAACTGAGCTGCGGGTATAGCTCAGTGGCTCAGGGCCTGCCTGGCAAGTACAAGGTTCTAAGATTGATTCCAGGTACCAAAAAAAGTGAGCAAACAATACATACATTAGACAGTGATCAAATAACTAGACTATGAGTAAATATCAATAAAACCTATTACATCTAATTTAAATATTTTCAGGTCATTCTTTTCTTCCCTGTTGTACTGTGAATTTCTAGGCTGCTAGAACTAACCAGAATTCAGATAATGACTTATTGTCCTCTGAGCTCTAATTATTAAGCTACAAATCCGTTTACTTTACTTTGAGTCCTTCAAGGGAAGAGGTTGTTCTAATTGCATCCAACTCACCTATGCCTTAAAGTAAGCACTCAAGAAGTAGTTGAATGAGTGACGCAGAAAAATAAACTCACATTAGAAATCTAATTAAAGGAAAGAGCCAGGGCTTGTCCTACTGCTGGCCTACGCTGAATCTCCCACAGTAATGGCAGTCACGGAGCAGAGGACACTGAGCCACTACAACTCACCAGCATCATCATAAGCATGGAATCACTAAGGGAAGGAGGCACGGAATCAGAGGTTAGCCTGCTCCAAGCCTGACTGTAGAGCTCAGAGGTAAAGTATTTGCCTAGCAATGCAGGAAAAAAAAAAGTTTGCAACAAGTGTTACAACAGCGCCGTGTGTTATCTAAGCAATTAAAATAAACCAAACCTCACATTCCCAAGAAATCCAATTATTTGAGATTTAACTGCAATCTTAATGCCTGATTTCTGCAGCTTAGCCAGCTAGATGACAGGACAAAGTACAATGAAAACTAGATTTTACTTAAATTAGAAATTCAAACCCATGAAATATATGCAAAGCTAAAACTCTTTATTAAAATTTATCCTTTAACAACACTGATTTTGAAATGCAAGGAGGCCTTAGATGTCACAGTCAGATTGGAAGTAGAAAAGTCCTGAATACATTTAAAATGAGCTTTCGGTTTTGTTTTTCTAATCCACATCCTCCTAATAATCCAGTTCCATTTACATGAGATTTTAGACAGGAATCTCCTCTAACCTAAGGTGGGTTACAGAACAAACAAGGTCTCTCCCTCAGGGATTTTAGTCTCTTGATGATGGACGGATGAAGAACAACACACATCTCACAGCAGCCAGCCCAGCATCTCCTCACACGGGCAGCAGGGACACTGGTGGCGGCAGTAATGGAGAGAGAATTGCAGGAGATCAAGACACGCTGGAGGCAGCCACCAGATGTGGCTACCTCATGAGCCTCTATAATTTGTTACTGGCAATTAAGAAGTCATCCAAGTTCCACAAGAGACTCGGGGGAGATGGGTCCTTAGGTGAAGCCTGTTCTAGCAGAAAGGGAAGGCATCTCTCACCCTGGAGAAATGGGTTGGTCTCGCTGTTTTATTATGTAGCCACCGACATACCTTAGTCCCAAGTACTTTGTACGCACTCATTGTCACGTGTGCCCCAAACCATCAGAGGGTTACGACCTTTCTTCATCCAACAGGTATTTGCTGAGGACCCTCTATTACCACACACCTTGCCAGTGTTGAGGAGTTGGGGTCGGAGGACAGGCAGGACTGCGTGGATGAGGGGCCAAGAGACGCCACATGCAGAAATCCTTAGGCAACTAAGGGGAAGGTCCCTGAAGACACAATATTCAGTTAAGGGCTAAAGAAAAGACAGAGGTCAACAAGACGAAGAAATGGGGCTGTGTGGAAAGAATGGGACCAGACTTAATTCATTTAGGCTGCTATCAAAAATACTTTATATTGCTTATTTGTAAACAACAAAATTTGTTTCTCAGAGTTCTGGAGGCTGGGAAGTCTAAGAGCAAGGGGTCAGCAGACTCCATGTCTCCTGAGGGCTTACTTCTCCTAGACAGCGCTTCTATGTGTCCTCATGCAGCAGCAGAGAGAAAGAAGCTCCCTTAGGCCTCTTAACAGAGCACTAATATCATTGATAAGAGCAACACCTCCTGGAACCCTCACCTCTTATTACAAGACTTTGGGGGTTAGGATTCAACACAGGAATTTAGGGTCGGGGGACACACCACATTGAGACTTAAGAAGACAGACATGTCAGGTAAGGGACGTTCCTAAACAGAGGGCCCTGCAAGAGTGAGTCACTGTGGTGTGGGAGAGCTCCTCAGACCAGGCCTCACCTCAGACCACCATACTTAGCCATGAACTCACCAGCAGACTAATCCTCTGGTAAGTGGCACACACTGTGATTCAATCACCGCCCCAAAACCCCACCTATGAGCACGTGAGACTGAGGGGACAGCTAGACGTAAACCGTAATGTTCTCTGCACCTGAAATACCTCATTACCCTTAATTCTACCTCCACGGAAACAGCCACTCTCCCTACACGTTTTACTGTGCTATTATGCCAGCCTTTCAAACATCGACCAGACAGAATGGTCCAGACAACTGCTGAATTCCACCGCCTAACTTCAGCAGTAAGTGATGTGTGGCCAACCTGGTTTCCTCTTGCAGTGCACACCCATTCTGCTCACTGCCACCCTGGGGTGTTTTGAAGGAACTCTCAGATAATGCATTTGATAATTTGGATCTTAAATGTTCCCTCAGAGTCCTTCCATCACAGATTTGGTCCCAGACTTGGTGCCTTTGGAAGGTGGTAGAAACTTAAAGAGGTAGGGCCTAGTGGAAGGTCTACTAATCACTGGGGACATACCCCTGGAGGGGACAGTGGGACCCGGGCCCTTTCCTCTTCCTCACTTTCTACAGCTACAAGGTGAGAAGCTTTGCCATATACACCTGCCAAAACTCCAAAACTGAGGCCAAATAAACTTCAGGTCTGCAATCCTACCATTCTGGGAGGCTGAGGCAAGAGGATCGTAAATTCTAGCACAGCCTGGGAAATTTAGTGACTATTTTAGTGAGAACCTGTCTCAGAGTAAAAAGGTAGAAGTAGGGGCTGGAGTGTAGCTCAGTATGAAGGCTCTGGAGTCATTTCACAGTGCCAAAAGCTAACCACGAATTTCATATATGTGACTCATATTTCATTTCATTTATGTGTATTTTGAAAAGACAAGTTTTAAAAATACTACAAGCACAAACTATTAACAGATTCCTTAATATCATCAAATAGCCAATGTTCACATTTTCCAGGTTAGCTGCAGAACATATCTGATGTGCTTGTATGAATTAAGATCCAAAATTAGAGCCGTATTTTAGAATTGGTTGATATGTGTGGTTTTGGTAACCTGTACTCTTCCACTGCACGTCCTTTATTCCTCCCAAAGAGTTTTTTCCCTTTGTTTTTGTAATTTTGTTGTTGCTATTATTGATTGAATTCTCTGCTTTCCCCATAAAGTTCCTCAGAGTCTGACTTACCCCACAAGTGCTACTTAACATACTTTGCTGTACTCTTTTGTATTTCCGGTAAATTAGTACTTAAATCTAGAAGCTAAATCAGCTCCATTTTTCCTCTAAGACTAGTTAGCAGCTACTTTGTGTATACT